TCCCAGGCCAATTAATGCCTCCTAACAGTCATTCACTCCAAAAGCCCGTCTCCCCTTCCCCAGTGAAGAAGCAGATATAAACGTCTGGACCTCAGTGGATTATTGGATAATCATTCTCCTATGACTCCTAGGAAAGGCTGCTATGTAAAGGTGCCCCAGGGCAACACTGGCAATGGGGAGAAGTGACATCTCCAGACGAATTCAATTGAGGATGGGCATTTAGCATCGGTCTCGTGCTCAGGCTGTGCCAGAGCCCCTCAGATGAAGGGTAGAGAAAGGTTTAGGAACTTGTCCATGATCACAGCACACATTGTCCTGGAATTTGAACCATGAGTATTCTGGCTGTGGTGTAGTGCAGCTCATCACAGGAATTCACCCCACTCTTCAGCCCACTCACTCATCCCCTGCTGAACACCTGAGTGCCAGATCCTGTGCTGGGATCCATGCGGTCCAGGCCCCGATCCTAGTGAAGAGATGGCCAGAGGAGGCAAGATGGGGTTGGGGGCTGGGTCAGGGAGCACAGGTTCACCAGGCACCCAGACTTACGGACTAGATAACTCCAGACCCACATTTCTGGATGCAATCAGAGGCCGACAAAGGGGAATGGAAGGGTTGCTAGGGCCAGGGGCATCCTTGAAGGAATGAACAAAAAGGTGGATCCCTGCTTCTGTGGCCTCTGTGGCTGATTTGGGGAAGACAATGATAGTGGGGTATTGCTACCGAGAAAAGCGAAGGCCAAAGTCCTCATAATGACCTTCAAGGCCTTTGCTCTGTCTGCCCCCCTTCCAATCCTCCTTCAACCTCCTCTCCTCCCCTGTTGTACTCCTCATTCTCACCACTCTTGGAACATTCTAGCTCACTCCTGCTAGCCAAGGACAGCTGTTTCTTGGGATGGAAGTAGGCAACACACAGGTTGCTGACATTTTTCTGGTGCAGCAAAGCAAGCACCAAGAAAATGTCAGATAGAGAGGAAATGGCTGTCGGGGCTCAGAAAGCAATACCTGCCAAATATGGCGCTTTGACAGGCCGAATAAAGATGCAGCCTCAAGGTCTCTCTGCCCACCTTTCCCCCATCCTGTCTGTCAATCCTCTGTTTCTCTCAAAGCACAGGAGGAGGCTGTTCTCTGAAGTTCCCTTATCTACTAGAAACTGGACTCCCGAAGAGGAGCACGATTGCTTTCGATCCCTTCCCTGAAATCTCATTAACGGGAGATTAAAATTCATATCACAGAGGAAGAGAAAACTAAACATCATGTCTAGAGTCCAGACAAACTTTGTCCCAAACGAGTGTTTCTTCTTTGGTCCCATTCAATTTCCAAAGAAAATCATCTGTAAGATAATGTCTGCCTCCCAGGCCAATTAATGCCTCCTAACAGTCATTCACTCCAAAAGCCCGTCTCCCCTTCCCCAGTGAAGAAGCAGATATAAACGTCTGGACCTCAGTGGATTATTGGATAATCATTCTCCTATGACTCCCCTGTGCTATGCATGGTAAATACATTTTTTATGCTTTTTTCCTTCTACTTATCTGCCTATTGTCAGCGCATTTCCGGCAAACCTTTAGGGGGAGAAGGGGAAGCTGTCCTTTGGCCCCCAAGTAGCACGAAATGGCTTGGATGGGGTGTATGGAACTTCCTGCCGGGGGTGGGGGGAGGGCTCCTGAATCAAGGGAGGGGAAATTTGATCTGAGACCTGAAAAGCTAGAAGGAACCCTCCATACCAAGAGTGGAGGGACAAGCAGTCCCATCAGAGGCAACAGGCTGGACAAGGGCCTTGACGCGGAAAAAGCTGACAGGTTCCAGGAACAGAATGAGGCTGATGAGTGAGTGGGGCAGTGGGAAGTGGGAGGCGGGGGAGCCAGCAGGGTCTGGGGGCAGTTTGCATTTTATTCCAGTTTGGTGGAAACCATTAAGAGGTTTTAAGCCAGATAAAAGCCTGTTCTGTTTTTAGAACCATCATTCTTTCCAGCTTAGGCAACGTGGCAAAACCCTTCTCTACCAAGAGTACAAAAAGGTAGCCGGGCATGGTGATGCATATGTGTAGTCCCAGCTATATGGGAGCCTGAGGCAGAAGGATTGCTTGAGCCCAGGAGTTCAAGGCTGCAGTGAGCTACGATTGGGCCACTGTACTCTAGGCTGGGTGACAGCGCCTGACTTTGTCTCAGAAAAACCTCCCAAACCAAACAAACATCATTAAGGCTGTGGAGTGGAGAACATACCATAGCCCAGAACCCTGTGGGTGGCAGTTTGTGGCGGCGTGTGTGGCTTGGACCAATGGGGCTACAGGTGGTAGGATGCGGACCTGTTTGAAACATGGAGGCATGCCTTTTGATGAGTTGGGAAGAGGACTGACATTCCTGTACCCATTTCACATACGGAGCGACTGCAACTCAGAGGCAGTCCCTGCACATGGGAGACTATTGTCCATTTTTCAGACGTAGAAGTTGAGAAGGGGAGGAATTTGTCTCAGTACATGCAGCTAAGGCTGAATGTTGGTCTCCAGGGCACTCTCTGCTCCTGGACTGTCTGCCTTTGTAGGTGTGGCTGGGACTACTCACCGCCTGCCTTTTGCAGACAGGGAAATGGAGACTCAAAGAAGAACAATACTCATAGTGGTGAGCCCATGATAGAATCCAGGGCCCCTGGTACAAAGTCTAGATTCTCTGTGTTCCTGCTGTAGTCCCTGCCCGCCTTCCTGGCATAGCTATAGAGAGCAGATGAATGTAGCAGAATCCACAAGAGGACAATAATGGACGTGGTACCTAATCACACACTAGCACACTTGGTGCTATGGACACCCAGGGAAAGATGAGGAGGCTCAGATGTTTGTGGGGAAGTGGGTACGCCCCTGTCTGCCTCCTGCCTGGCTTGATGCCTGCAGTGGGCGAGTGTGTATGTGTGCATGTATATGTGATGGTGTGTGTGCATGCCTGTATAATTGTACATGTGAATGTGGGAGTGTGGTGCCCACAGGAACACTGTCGTTCCCCCTGGAATGCCGGGCACCAGGGGAGCTCAGGGTACCCAGCTACCTGCCTGTTCGGACCCAGTGCGCCCTCACTTCTCTGTCCACTTATCTGTAGAGACCTCTTGGCTTCTGTGCCTTATCTTTGGGCCCTGCTTAGGCTTCTTGATGAAAAAATAATTAACGATAGCCTCATTTTCCAAGGCGTCCATCCCGCTCTGCTGGCCAAGTTAAAAATACTCACAAGGATACTCACAAGGAGCAGGGCTGCTGGTGGGAGGAGCTGCCACTCTGCGTGGGAGGGCAACCAAGGCCACAAAGAGGGAAAGGACGTACTGAAAGGGAGGCCTGGTGTGTGCCTGGACTCAGGGCTTGGAGAGGAGACAGGCCAGGGGCTAGGCTCCGGCCTATTCCCACTGTGGCTTCGCTGTGTGAATTTGGGCAAGTTCCTTGCCCTCTCTGAGCTCTGCTTCCTCCTCTGTTAATTGAGGAATTTGCACTAGAATTCAGTTCTCCCAAAGCATTTCTTCTGCATGTAAACGGGTAACACCCAAAGCAGAAACACGTGTACAACAAATCCAAACCAAAAAGAGGCTGTGGTTAATTAAGTTTGGAAAAGGACACCAGGATACATAAAGTTAAATCTGTTTCTTTACTGCTGGGCCTTTTTCTTTCTTTCTTTCTTTTTTTTTTGAGGGGAGTCTCACTCTGTTGCCCAGGCTGCTGGAGTGCTGCGGCACAATATCACTGCAACCTCCGTCTCCTGGGTTCAAGCGGTTCTCGTGCCGCAGCCTTCAGAGTAGCTGGGATTACAGACGCACACCACCACGCCCAGCTAATTTTTGTATTTTTAGTAGAGATGGGGTTTTGCCATATTGGTCAGGCTGGTCTCGAACTCCTGACCTCAGGTGATCCACCTGCCTCAGTCTCCCAAAGTGCTGGGATTACAGGCATGGGTCACCGCCCCCCGCCTTAATTTAAGCAGGGCTTTTCAGAGCCTTTATTGATTGAAACCTTAATTCTTTGGATAAGTAATACATATGTCCACGGCATCTAATTCAGAAGTTGTGGAAGGGGTTTGGGGAGCTCACACCTCTTTCCTGTACCGGTTGTGCCTCCTCTGTTCCTCCCTGGCTCAGGTACCTGGAAGCTTCTAATGCATAGCGAGACTGTATCGCATGCACCAGCAGATACCGTGTAGACTCAGTCACTACCATGGCAAGCGACAATGGGCCTCCCAGGCGGGAGCAGGAGTATGGATGGCTAGCCACAGCCCGCCCCCAGCATCTCTAGGACCAACATCTGGAGGAACACCCTTTGAGAATTGTGGGGTCCCTGGTCCCCAAGTGCCACGGGGGTTTGCATAGGAGGGAAGTTGGTAGCGCCGCCCTGCAGGTTCAGACCCCCCATCTTGCAAAAGGCGCCCATGACTTCTGCCCTTTGCTGCCCCCAGCTGGGCTGTCCTGCGCTCCAGGGAAGCTCCGAAGCCTGCAGTGTATGTGGGGACCCGGGAAGGGCAAGCCCAGGTTGTGTGCCCGCAGGCTGCGCGGGGAGTGAGCGGCTAGCCCCGCGCGGGCGGGCGCGCTGTGGGCGTAGGGAGGCGATGCGCGTGGCCCGGGGAAGGTGTGTCGCGGCGCGCTGGGGGTGTGAGCGCGCGTGCCCGCCCCCGCCCCGCCCAGAGGCCGGGCAGGTGTGGGCGGGCGGCCAGGACCCCGCCGAGCCGGGCTGGGAGAGCCGGCGGGAAACAGGAAGCAGGGGGAGGCGCGGCCGGACGGCCGGGAGGGAGGGCGTGCGGACGGACGCGCGGGGTGACCGGGGGCCGGACGCGCGGCCCGGGGCTGGCGGCGATGTGGGGAGGCCCGGGCAGCCTGGGCGGCGGCGGGGACGGGGGCGGAGCCGGGGGCACCGCGGGCACCGCCCCCCTGCGCCTGCGGAGCCGCCGCCCGAGCGCGGACCGGGGAGCCCGAGGCGGCTGTAGCGTGCGAGGTGAGTCGCGGGGAGCTCGGGGCGCGTCCCCGACGGCAGGTCCTGCGGACGACGCCCCCGGGTGGGCTCGGCCGCACAGCCAGCCCCAGGGCGCCCTGGTCGACCCCCGTGCGCCTCTTGCCCGCAGACCCGGAGGACACGGCCATGCCGGGCCAGGCGGAGGCGGGGGAGGCTGAGGAGGAGGCTGGGGCCGGCTCGGGGTCCGAGGCGGAGGAGGACGCGCTGTGGGAGCGGATCGAGGGCGTCCGGCACCGGCTGGCTCGCGCCCTGAACCCGGCCAAGCTCACGCCGTATCTGCGCCAGTGCCGGGTCATCGACGAGCAGGACGAGGAGGAGGTGCTGAGTACCTACCGCTTCCCGTGCCGCGTCAACCGCACCGGTGAGCCGCGAGGCCCGAGTGGGTCACTACCCGGGCCGGCCATGCCCTTGGCGCAGCGCCCAGAGCCGTGGAGCGCGAAGCTAGGGCTCTGCTGCCCTGAGGCTCGGTCTCTGCATCCGTAAAGTGGGCCGGCTGGGTATGCCCACCAGCCTGCCTCCTCCCTAACAACCACTGCGCCCTGGTGGTCCGCGTTGCACACACCGGCGTCAGAGTTTTGTCTCGGAGTTCTCTCCCACTTCCTGGGTCCACATTAGAGCAGAGGGTTGGATGTGGCTGCCAGGGCCGGCTGGGCCTGGGACCTGCCGGTCACAGCTGGCGGACTTGGCACCTTTCCTGCGCTCTTTGATGTCTGAGTTCTGTCTGTCCCCTCCTCTGTGCGCCACACACTCCTGGGGCAGTCATTTTTCAAGTGTCAAGACCCATCTCAGCTTTACGAGGGTCCACGACCCTCTCCCACAGGGTGTGCCTTTGAACCAGAGCTCACAAAGGCATGATGGAATGGTCTTAATGGTGGAATTTCAGGCATGGCCAATGGGAGAAGTATTTTCTTTGCTTCTGGGGATAGAGGGGCTTCTCTGTGCCACTGAAAAGGCAGGCTGTATTTGCCGGCCCGCATCTGTGTCTGTGGGGGGTGCTGGGGAGCTCTGGGAGCCCAGGAGTCATGAGGGAGTGTGCTCCCCTGGCTATGGCAGACTGGCTCTCTTCTCTTCCCTGATGTGTTGGGACAGGCCCCTGTGTGTGTCACTGGCTCAAAAATTTGGGGAACGTGGGCCTGGAGCATGGTGGGGGCAGAAGCAACCAGGCACCTGGGGAGGCCCTCCCCTGGACCCTGGGTGCATCCCCCCACTACTCTCCAGGGCGCCTGATGGACATCTTGCGCTGCCGTGGCAAGAGGGGCTATGAGGCCTTCCTGGAAGCCCTGGAGTTCTACTATCCCGAACACTTCACGCTGCTCACGGGCCAGGAACCTGCCCAGCGGTGCTCCATGATCCTCGGTGAGTGGACCTGCGGTGGATGCTGGCACCTCGGCCTCCAGTGCACAGGCTCCTTCCCCCATCCCTATTAGGGAGGCGCTCCACTATGCCTGTTGAACAGTAAGGGAAACTGAGGCATGGAGCGGCTGAAGGGGCTTGCGCAGGGCCCCACGGTAGGCTGAGGGTGGGGCTGGATGCTAGTGCTGTTATTCCAAGTTCGGAGCCACATGCTTAAGATGGCTCTTTCTCCCTGATTCTGTTTTCAGACATATGTCTGACATACGCAGATGTACAGTTTTTTTTATGTAAAAAATACAGAGGCTTCAGGTGACTTTGAATTTTTTTTTTTTTTTTTTTGTGAGACAGAGTCTTGCTCTGTCACCAGGCTGGAGTGCAGTGGTGTGATCTCGGCTCACTGCAACCTCCGCCTCCCAGGTTCAAGCAATTCTCCTGCCTCAGCCTCCTGAGTAGCTGGGATTACAGGCATGAGCCACCATGCCCCGCTAATTTTTGTATGTTTTTTTTTTTTTTTTTTGAGACGGAGTCTCTCTGTCGCCCAGGCTGGAGTGCAGTGGTGCAATCTTGGCTCACTGCAAGCTCCACCTCCCGGGTTCATGCCATTCTCCTGCCTCAGCCTCCCGTGTAGCTGGGACTACAGGCGCCCACCACCTCGCCCGGCTAAATTTTTTGTATTTTTAGTAGAGACAGGGTTTCACCGTGTTAGCCAGGATGGTCTCGATCTCCTGACCTCGTGATCCGCCTGTCTCGGCCTCCCAAAGTGCTGGGATTACAGGCGTGAGCCACCGCGCCCGGCTATTTTTGTATGTTTAATAGAGATGGGGTTTCATCATGTTGGCCAGGATGGTCTTGATCTCCTGACCTTGTGATCCGGTTGCCTCGGCCTCCCAAAGTGCTGGGTTTACAGGCGTGAGCCACTGTGCCCAGCTGAATTTTTTTAATGTAAAACACACACACACGCCTACATGTGTATTTTGCTTTTTTTTTTTTTTAGAACAACTGATTTTATTGATTCTTTCACGTCTGTTACATACACTTGTTTTAAGTGACTGCATACTATTCATTAGTGAAGTTAGGACATAATTCATTTAACCCATTTCCAGTTGAATGGATACCTAGGTTTCCATTTTCGTATTATTACAACGATGCTGGGAACATCCTTGTATGTGTGTCTTTGTGCCAATGCGTCTCAGGCGAAGAGGTTCTGAGAATAATTTCTCAAAGAGTCTGTGTATTTTAACTGTTAAATCAACATACCTCCTACCAGGAGTGTGTAAGTGCCCATTTGAATCCTGGGGATCATGTTTAAATATTTTTGCCATTCTGATATGTAAAAAATAATGTTACTGTTTTAAGTTTATATTTCATTGAGTGATACAGTTCCCAGGTTACTATTTATTAAACCTTGGGTAAATAACTGCTCTGTGCTTCAGTTTTCCTGTTTTTGAAATGGGTACAATAATAGTACCTACCTTATAGTGTTGTCATAAAGATTAAATAAGATGTATCTAGCACAAAGAATTAAGTTAACAAATATTAGTAGCTACTGTAATTATTGTTGGTAGGTTGGTGCATATTTTCCTGTATTTATTAGCCATTTTTATTTTGGGACTTGCCTATTGATAGTTTTTGTCCATATTTTTATTTGGTCGTTGATCTTTTCTTATTGATTTGTAGGAGCTCTTTATATATTATGGCTCTGAGTTTTTGTTATATTTTCTCCCACTCTGTTGCTTATTAACTTTGTTACATCTTTCATTTTTCAGAAGTTTAAACTTTTTTTTTTTTTTGAGGTGGAGTCTCGCTCTGTTGCCCAGGCTGGAGTGCAGTGGCGCGATCTTGGCTCACTGCAAGCTCCGCCGCCTCCCGGGTTCATGCCATTCTCCTGCCTCAGCCTCCCGAGAAGCTGGGACTACAGGCACCCGCCACCGCACCCAGCTAATTTTTTTGTATTTTTAGTAGAGACAGGGTTTCACCGTGTTCGCCAGGATGATATCTATCTCCTGACCTCGTGATCCGTCTGCCTCGGCCTCCCAAAGTGCTGGGATTACAGGCATGAGCCACTGCGCTCGGCCGGTGTAAACATTTTTATATGGATTTGTCCATCTTTTTTCTCTTACAACTCCTGGATTTTGTGTGTTGTTTAGGAAGACCTCCCCTGCTCCCAAATTCTACAAACATATTCCAGAATTTCCCTCTAGTGTTTTTCTGATTTGAGTTTTTTGACACAGTCTACTATCTCCTGGATTTTACTTGCCTGAGCTGCCTATTCTGTCCCCTGTTCTGTCCTGGCAGATGAGGAGGGGCCTGAGGGCCTGACCCAATTCTTGATGACAGAGGTGCGACGGCTGCGGGAAGCTCGCAAGAGCCAGCTGCAGCGGGAGCAGCAACTGCAGGCCCGGGGCCGGGTGCTTGAGGAGGAGCGGGCAGGGCTGGAGCAGCGGCTGCGGGACCAGCAGCAGGCTCAGGAGCGCTGTCAGCGGCTGCGGGAGGACTGGGAGGCGAGCAGCCTGGAGCTGCTGCGGCTCAAGGATGAGAACTACATGATCGCCATGCGCCTGGCACAGCTCAGTGAGGAGAAGAACTCGGCTGTACTTCGCAGCCGTGACCTGCAGCTGGCGGTAGGCCCTGGGGAGATGAGTCAGGGAGGCAAGGGAAGGGGCAGCTTTTGCAATATAGTAGCCAGCCAGCCTGCGTCCCAGAGCAACCATTGCTGGCTCTTTGACATGGATAAGTCCTTTTAGTGCTCGGTGTACCTACTTCATTGGGTTATGACTGTAATTCTCAATGGGGGGTGATTTTGACCCCCTAGAAACATTTGGCCACGTCTGGGAGACATTTCTGGTTGTCACAATTAGTGGGGATTTATTGGCATCTGGTGTCAGGGATGCTGTCAAACGCCCTACAGGGCACAGGACAGTCCCCAACAAAGAATTACCCAGCCTAAAACGTCGGTAGGGCCGGGGCTGGGAAACGTTGGGCTATGAGGATTCAGTGAGTTTTTTTTTTTTTTAGTGAGACGGAGTCTCACCCTTGTTGCCCAGGCTGGAGTGCAGTGGTGTGATCTCGGCTCCCTGCAGCCTCTGCCTCCAGCGTTCCAGTGATTCTCCTGCCTCAGCTTCCCAGGTACCTGGGATTACAGGCATGTGCCACCACACCCAGCTAATTTTTGTATTTTTAGTAGAGATGGGGTTTCACCAAGTTGACCTGGCTGGTCTCGAACTCCTGACCTCAGGTGATCCGCCCGTCTGGGCCTCCCAAAGTGCTGGGATTATAGGCGTGGGAGACCATACCCGGCCCGGTGAGTTTCCATTTAAGACACAGAGTTTCAAACATGTACAGTCCCTAGCACACTGCTCACAGCTTGTGTCAATAGTCATTGTTGATATTATCAAGAGCCACGCAGGTTATAAACATCGTGTCTTCTAATCCTCCCCAAAGCACCATACGCCAAGTCCTCATTTGCAAATACAGACTCTGAGACTCAGATTAGTGAAAGGACTTGCTCAAGGTCACAGAGCCAGGAAGCTGCACAGCCTGGGTTTGAACCGGGTCCGGCTGGCTCCAGTGCCAGCCCGCTTCCCACGCTGCTGTTCTGCCTGCCCCCTGTGTGGGGAAGTCTCACCCGACTCCCTCCAGCAGCAAGTGAGGTCGTGCCTCCTGCTGCATCTCACTTTCTTGGTTTCCGACTGGGACTCAGCAGGGGGATAATACTGGTATTTGACTGCCGCAGGGCATTGTTCCAAGGATTTAATGAGCTCATCCACGTCACGGGCTTAGCAGTGCCAGCCGCATGGCACGCAGGAGGCTTTCCCCAGCCATGTTGCTCAAGGCTCCACAGTGGGTTCTGACCGTGGAGTTTGAAGCCTCCCTACCCCAGGAGCCTTGGGCTGTGGCTACAGCGTTGCAGGTGGCCGTGAAACTGTAGATGTGGGTGCACCGGTGTGCCAGTCCTTGGTTTGTGCATGCCAGGTGGGTCGATATCCTGGGGAGGTGAGCCCTGATGGGGGTGTTGAGGCCACCAGTTGAAGGGTCCAGGCCGCTGGTCCTGCTTGAGGATGTAGGGGGCTGGTTTGAGGTTGTGGGATGACCTTGAGGCCATCGTTTGAGGGCCTGGTTGGTGTGTGGCATGAGATGGAGGCTTTCTGAGAAGTGGTGGGCAGGGACAGGGACACAGGTCCCAGGCCTGCTCTACTGCCAAAAATCATGTGGCATGGGGAAGGCTTTCCTTTCTGTGCCTCAGTTTCCTCATCCTCATCACAGATAAAGATGATGTGACAATTATAAAACACCCTTGTGCTTTATAGGTACCATCCTAAGTGCTTGCCACGCATAGACCCCTTTAATTTTCCAGCCACCCTACGCTGGGGTGGACACCATCTTCCCCATTTCTAGAGGAGGAAACTGAGGCACAGAGAAGTTGGTTAGAGCACTTTCCCAATGTCTCGGGATTGAAGGATTTTTTTTTTTTTTTTGAGATGGTGCTTGCTCTGTTACCCAGGCTTGAGTGCAGTGGCGAGATCTTTGCTCACTGCAACCTCCGCCTCCCAGGTTCAAGCAATTCTTCTGCTTTAGCCTCCTGTGTAGCTGGGATTACAGGCGTGTGCCACCATGCCTGGCTAATTTTTTTTTTTGTGTGTGTGTGTGTGTTTTTAGTAGAGATGGGGTATCACCATGTTAGCCAGGCTGGTCTCAAACTCCTAACCTCAGGTGATCTGCCCGCCTTGGCCTCCCAAAGTGCTGGGATTACAGGTGTGAGCCACTGTGTTCGGCCAGATTGAAGGATTTCTGAATTGGCTCTCAGCACCGCTTGAGGGGTGGTGGCTGGCAGGTGGGAGTGCTCCCCTTTCTTTACCCAGAGAGCTTCCCCTTTTTTCTGAAACAGACATGGGCTTGCTGTAAAGTTTTCTCGGAAGAAATAATCTGCTGCTCAGAGAGGACGGTGTGAGGGCTGCGGACTGGGGGCTCTGGGAGAGGCTGCAGCCCGCATGGCTTGTCCCATCTTTGGGTTGGGTGTGATGGGATCAGGAGATGTCCTGTGTGTGTGGCCATCTGGGGGCTGCTGCGACAGGGGAGGGGGATGGAAAAGAGATGGTTGGAGGTGCCTCTGTAGTCTGCAGGTCATCTACCTCTAGGCAGAGTGACTGCTTTTTCCTATTTTAGGGGCCTAAGCAGTGAAATTGGCCAGGCGCAGTGGCTCATGCCTGTAATCCCAGCATTTTGGGAGGCTGAGGCGGGTGGATCACGAGGTCAGGAGAGCAAGACCATCCTGGCTAACATGGTGAAACCCCGTCTCCACTAAAAATGCAAAGAATTAGCCAGGCATGGTGGCACGCACCTGTAGCCTCAGGGACTCGGGAGGCTGAGGCAGGAGAATCGCTTGAACCCAGGAGGTGGAGTTTGCAGTGAGCCGAGATTGAGCCACTGCACTCCAGCTTGGGCAACAGAGCGAGACTCCATCTGAAAAAAAAAAAAAAAAAAAAAGGAAGTGAAATTAAACTTAGCTACTGTAAGTTTGCCTTAATGTATAATTTATGTTTAGAGCTTTTCTGCTCCAAAATTAACAAAGGTGTTGCAGATGGATCTGAACAGAGCACCTGATCGTGCCTGACTTGGCAGCTTCTGTCGTCACCTCCCATGTACAGGTGTGTGGCGGCTGGGATTTAATACCCTGTTTTATGAGGTGCAAATTTAATGAGCGGTTATTTCTAAGCAACATAAACTGAAGGAACGAACGCTATAATTTTGTGCTCAGTGTGTTTGTGCACCGGGATTAAATGCATCCGTATTTCCTGTTGCTCGTCGGAGACTCCCAGGTGTCCTGTCCTCTGAGCTCATCAGGGAAGCCGGCCGGCCAGGGGTCAGGCAGGAGGCCCTGGTGTGTGGCTGCGGTTTGCTGAGAGGGTGTGACCACAGTTGTCCTTGTAACGAGCTGTCTTTCTCTGGCTATTCACAAAGCATGTTTTGTGAGTGGAAAGGAATGTGGGAGTCATGAATTACTTTTTGAGTCTCTTGCGGAGGAGGAGGAGTGGACTGTTAATTTGTGGAATTGCCTGACCCAGCCTCCAGACCCGTGTGTGTGTGTGTGTGTGTGTGTGTGTGTGTTTGTGGTGGGGGTGCCATTCTAACCTCTCAAGGCTGGGGGACTAGCAAGTCATTTTCCAAGAGAGGCCAGGGGACTCCTGGGGCACCAAATATTGCATGCCTGACTATGGCACCAGAAGTCATTGTGACCTTTTCCCAACAATGACTTCATTTTATAGCCTGCCACCTGCTGCCACTCTTGTCACTGTCTGGCCACCTCAGACCCCACATGCGTCACAGCTGGCTGAGTGCACTCATAGTCCAGCAAACTGACCATGCACGTCTGCTCCCAGCTTGGTGGTCACCCCACAGCTGCCCACTCACCACACCGGGCCAACTTCTGTCTGCACACTCCGAACTGGTGATCGATCAGGGGCATGGGATTTTATTTAACGCTGTGAAGACAGCCACGGTCACACTGTGGCAGCTCTGTAGCCTGCCTTTCACAGTTTAGAGGCCTCTGCCCACTTGCTGTCTTGTTTAATTCTTGCAACACCTTTGGAAGGCAAATGATGAGGCCAGGAGATCGACTGGGCCCATTTTACTGATGAGGAAACTGAGGCCCAGAGGAGGTAAGTGACTTGCTCAGGATGACAGAGCCCAGAAGTAGCAAAATTGAAACTTGAACCCTGGACATGGAGCTCTTGAGGGAGGATGAACCAAAAGCCAAATCTTCTGGAGTAGAGGCTCTCTTAGGAATTCCTTTCAGGGTGGACCGGACTAAGTCTGTTCACTGAGAGTATGTTGAGGTGAGATGTTGGCTTGTAGGGGAAGCGTCTGGTTCCTGGGCTGGATGAGACCCTCAACTCTTAAAACCATTGTCCTCTCCTCTCCCCTCACACCCCAGGTACAGATGAGAAGATTGAGGCACAGAGAGGGACCATGACTTGTCCAGGGTCACACTGAGCTAGAGACGGAGCTGGAGTCTGACCCTGTTTTTGTTTTTTGTTTTTTTTCTCCTTCTTCTTTCTTCTTTCTTCCTTCTTCCTTCTTTCCTCCTCCTCCTCCTCCAGCCTCCTCTCCCCTCCTTCCCCCTCCTCCTTCTCCTTCTCCTCCTTCTCCCTCCTTCCCCTCCTCCTCCCTCCTTCCCCTCTTCCTCCCTCCTTCCCCTCCCTCTTCCTCCTCCCTTCTCCTCCTCCCTCCTTCTTTCTTTTTCTTCTCTCTTTTTTTTTTGAGACAGGGACTCGCTCTGTTGCCCAGGCTGGAGTGCAGTAGCACGATCATGGTTCACTGCAGCCTCAACCTCCCAAAGCTCAAGTGATTCTCCTGCTTCAGCCTCCAGAGTAGCTGGGATAATAGGCGCGCACCACCACACCCAACTAATGTTTTAAATTTTTTTTGTCGAGACGAGGTCTCACTGTGTTAACTAGGCTAGTGTCGATCTGCCCACCTCGGCCTCCTAAAGTGTTAGGATTACAGGTGTGAGCACTGCACCTGGCCTGGTTTCCCGTATGCTTTTTTTTTTTTTTTTTGAGACAGAGTCTTGCTCTGTTGTCCAGGCTGGAGTGTAGTGGTGTAATCTTGGCTCACTGCAACCTCCACCTTCTGGGTTCAAACGATTCTCGTGCCTCAACCTCCCTAGTAGCTGAGACTATAGGCATGTGCCACCACGCCCGGCTAATTTTTTTATTTTTAGTAGAGACGGGGTTTCACCATGTTGGTCAGGCTGGTGGGATTACAGGCGTGAGCCGCTGTGCCTGGCCCCCCTTCTTCTGGATGTGGCCCTCCTCCTTTTCTGCCATGAGGATACTGGGCTAAATTGACGGGAGTCAGTGTCAGAACTGCAGGACAGACAGCATGTTGTGATGCAGCACGTCCACCCACAAGTTCTTAGAGTGGATTCCCCTGGGGGGTGGTGTCCTTGGCCTTACTGCCCACTGCTTCTTCCTCAGCCCTGTTTGTTTTATATCTGCCCAGCCTCTCCTGTTTTCATAGACAAGTCTGGGGAGGACCCCTGCTTCGGCTTCTCTGGGAATCTGAAAGGCATCCAGGAGTGAGGGAGCAGGACTTCCCACCCCTGTGACCTGTGGCTCCCAACGTGTCCCCCTCTGGGCTGACCCATGTCTTGGGCTCCAGGTGGATCAGCTCAAGCTCAAGGTGAGTCGGCTGGAGGAAGAGTGTGCACTGCTGCGAAGGGCCAGAGGATCGCCTCCTGGAGCAGAAGAGAAGGAGAAGGAGAAGGAGAAGGAGCCGGACAACATGGACCTCGTCTCTGAGCTGCGTGCTGAGAACCAGCGGCTGATGGCATCGCTGCGGGAGCTGCAGGAGGGCCTGCAGCAGGTACCAGGACCAGGGCTCGTGGGCACAGGCTGGGGGGTGGTCAGGAGGGCCTGCAGCAGGTACTGTGGCTTGTGGGTGCAGGCTGTGGGGTTGGGGGTTGGGAGGACCTGCAGCGGGTACCAGGGCCAGGGCTTGTGGACACAGGCTGGGTGGGGGGTGGTTGGGAGGGCCTGCAGCAGGTACCAGGGCTGGGGCCCATGGGCATGGGGGTTGGGGGGGTGGTCGGGAGGGCCTGTAGCAGGTACTACGGCCAGGGCTCGTGGGCACAGGCTGCGGGGTGGGGGGTCAGGAGGGCCTGCAGCAGGTGCCAGGGCTGAGGCTTGTGGGCACAGGCTGGGGGGGCGGTCAGGAGGACCTGCAACAGCTGTCACGGCTGGGGTTCATGGACGTGGAGTAGGGGTGGGGGTTAGACCCGGAAAACAGGCCCTCTTGCTGCTTGCTCATCCTCCCAAGTCCTGGAAAGCTGAGGATTTCAGAACCAGGGATCTGAGATCTGGATGGAGTCCCGGCAGCCTCTTGCCTGAAGCTCTGAGCTGAGGGCCCTTAGCACGTGGCTGTCCCTGGTTGTCTGGTCTCAGGTGTGTGAGCAGCCTCCAGAAGGCCCCCGAACTCCCTAAAACTGTCCACCTGATTTTGAGTGTGAGCGTTTTTCTGGGCAAAGGGCCCCAGCTTTCATTTGATTTGTAGAGAGTGTGGTCTGGTGGTCCCAGGGCTTGCTTAGTGTCCTGTGGCAGGTCAGTGGCAGGTCAGCGGCTGCATGGGCCTGCCTCCGGGCCATTGTTCCACACAGGAAGTGGGGGATGGAAACCAGTGTGTTTCATGAGGTTGGGGCACTTGGCTGGAGTGTGGGTCTGGGGGCAAGATCTTAGGCCCAGGGTCTACCTGTATGGGCCAGGCTCAGCCCCTTGAAGACCCCTAGTCATGGGGGTGGGAATAGGCCTTGGAAATGGCCACCGTCTGCTGCCCCGGATGGTGGGTGAGGGCCAGAGCACAAGTGTGTGCCTGGTGCTTGTTTAGGAATAAGATCCTGGCTGAACTTGTCCAGTCACACCCTTATTCTCTTAGCTTATTAGCCAGATGCTCCCTGGAGGGTAGCTAGGGCTGGTGGGGCCACGCCCACTTTGCCGAGGGGGAAACAGAGATCCAGAGAGGGTCCAGTCCCCAGGCCAGCATGGCAGAGCTGGTCAGGTGGGTTTGGAGGGCTGACAGCCGTGTGTCCCCTTCCTTCCCATGCCCAGGGTGGGCCCCGAGCCAGACCCTGAGGTGGCCCTGCCCTGTGATCCCCAGGAGGCAAGCCGGCCAGGGGCCCCAGGCTCCGAGCGCATCCTGCTGGACATCCTAGAGCATGACTGGCGGGAAGCGCAGGACAGCAGGCAGGAGCTGTGCCAGAAGCTGCACGCCGTGCAGGGGGAGCTGCAGTGGGCCGAGGAGCTGCGCGACCAGGTGGGGCCCTGCCCATGCCCTGCCCCTGGTGGGAGAGGGTGTCAGCCAGGGCCAGTGTGCTCACACCTTCCCTGAGCATCCGCTTGACGCAGGTGCCTTACTGAGAACTGCATTCGTTCGTTCGTTCTCAGATGTTGACAGAGGCACCCTTCTAGGCGCTTGGGATGCTGCAGTGAGCAAAACAAAGGTGCCTTTTCCTTTAGGGGGAACTCCAGCAGGGGAGACCGGCAGTATGTGAGACACACAGTCCCACGTCATATAGCCAAAGGCGATGAGCACCGTGGGAGACGCAGAGCTGGGGAAGGGGCCGGTTGCAGTTTCAGTGGGGAGGCCAAGGATGACCAGATGGGTGAAATGATGATCATTCTTCTGGTTTTACAGATTAGGCAGTTGAGGGCCCGTGAGGTAAAGTCAGTGGCTCAGACCACTCCACTGGGCAGGAGGGGACTTGTTATCGGGTCTCAGGCTCTTGGCTCTCACTGGCCCTCCTGGGCACCTGCTGGTTAACTTTCTGGTGGTCCCCAGCCCTGTGGTCTGACCCCGCCCCCATGCCACCCTCAGTACCTGCAGGAGATGGAAGACCTGCGGCTCAAGCACCGCACACTGCAGAAGGACTGTGACCTGTACAAGCACCGCATGGCCACTGTCCTGGCCCAGCTGGAGGAGATTGAGAAGGAGCGAGACCAGGTGAGCCCAGCCTGCTGTGTACGAGGCCCTGGGCCAGTTGCTGCTTCTCATATGGGAGGAGATGAGAAGCAGTGGAGGGGACTAGAAGGGTAGAAAGAGAGGTTAGTAGCTCCCTGGTGGGTTAGGACAGGGCACAAAGGCTGGGAGAACAGACAGGGGACCTGGAGCCCTTGAGATACCAACCTTACACCCTGGACCCACTGGCCTCGTCTGAGCTCCTATGGCAGTTACAGAAGCTGGTCCTGGTGTCTTCATTTCTGAATATCCGTTGTTCTGTCCATCTCAAAGACAAGGCCAGTACAGAGGAGGTGCTTACAAATAGAAGCCGATGAAGAAATTCTCAAAAGTTTTGGCTCTCCGTCCCTGGGCACTATGAGCCTTGTCTCCTGCCAAGGTTGTAGGGTGGGCTGAGGACCTCCGGCCAGTGTCACCAGGTTCCATGTGCAGTGGGGGAGGGAGGGAGGTTTTTGTTCTTGACCAAGTGTGAATCCCACTAGAGGAGTTGAAGTCTACATATTGTTGTTATTATTATTACTTTTTGAGACTGAGTCTAGCTCTGTTGCCCAGGCTGGAGTGCAATAGTGCGATCTCAGCTCACTGCGGTCTTCAGCTCCCGAGTTCAAGTGATTCTCCTGCCTCAGCCTCCCAAGTAGCTGGTATTACAGGCATGCTACCACGCCCGGCTAATGTTTGTATCTTTAGTAGAGACAGGGTCTCACCATATTCACCAGGCTGGTCTTGAACTCTTGGGCTCAATTGATCCACCCACCTCAGCCTCCCAAAGTGCTGGGATTACAGGCGTGAGCCACCGTGCCCAGCTGAAGTCTACATATCAGAAATGCCCTCAGAATCCCCTGGCAAGCTTGAAAGTGCAAAATTGGGGCTTCATTCTCCAGATGTTCTCATTCAGGTGGTCTGGGGTGGGCCCCAGGAATCTGCATTTTATGGGGCTGCCCTCAGCTCTCTCTGAGGCATGGCTGTCAGGTCTGGACCATGGGTCTAGATCTAGAGCCCCTGGTCTCCACTGTGGATGCAATGGGCTGGGTTTGACTCCCGGCTTCTCCACCAACTGGGATGCTGGGAGTGAAGCCCCTGGCACACAGCAGGTCTCGTGGAAAAGTTTTCATTTCTTGGTGAAATGGTGAGAGCTTGGATTCTGCAAATGGACTGCCTGATTTGAATCCCAGCTCTCTCTCTCCTGGCTTGGTTTCCCCAATCTGCAGAATAAGAATAATGATATTAATAGTATCTCACTAAGCCAGTTAGTATGAAGATATTTAAATGAGCTGATATTTAGCTCAGGGCCCAGCACACAGTGCTCAGTAAGTGATAGCTGCCGTTCTCCTTACTGTCCCCATTCTCCAAGTCATAGGCCAGGACAGCTGGGCCAGGGTGACTCCTTCAGCTGCTGCCTCCCCTCCCCCAACCCTAGGCCATCCAGAGCCGTGACCGGATCCAGTTGCAGTACTCACAGAGCCTCATCGAGAAGGACCAGTACCGCAAGCAGGTGCGGGGCCTGGAGGCAGAGCGGGATGAGCTGCTGACGACACTCACCAGCCTGGAGGGCACCAAGGCTCTGCTGGAGGTGCAGCTGCAGCGGGCCCAGGGTGGCACCTGCCTCAAGGTGAGCGGGTCAGGACTGTGGGAGTCCTGGTGGGGAGGCTGGGGTCCTGGCAGGAGCTCTTGGCCAGGGCTGGGAAGGTGCCGGCCCTAGTGGGAGACCTCAGCTGGGGGAGGAAGCTTGGGGGAAGTGGTAAGAGCCCTCAGTTAGGAGTGGGAACTTGAACCCAGGCTGGGCTGGGTGTGGGCTGGTGAGCAGGCAGGGGGCATGTTGGTCTCTGAGTTTCTGGGGTTGCTTCTGGGACACTAAGAATAGTTTGGAGCTGGTCTTTGCATTTAGGTAGGGAAAGCTGGCTGCCCGAAGGCCTGTGTGCTTGTTAGAATGCAAAGCCTGGGCCTCAGAGACCGGCTAGTCAGGACTAACATGAGCCTAAGCATCCCTCAGAGAACAGCTGGTCTAATCCTCTCATTGCACAGGGCCCAGAGAGGGTCAGGGGCTTGCCCAAGGCCACACAGCCAGCTGGCGCTGGAGCTGGAGTCCCAGACACATTGTAAATTGGATCGTGGTCCTCAGGCTGCTGCTGGGAGCTCTGCTTTTCCCTTTTTCTTTTTTGAGACGGAATCTTGCTGTGTCACCGAGGCTGGATCCCAGGTTAAAGCTATTCTCCTCCCTCAGCCTCCTTAGTAGCTGGGATTACAGGTGCCTGCCACAACGTCCAGCTAAGTTTTTTGTATTTTCAGTAGAGATGGGGGTTTCAACATGTTGGCCAGGCTGGTTTCAAACTTCTAACCTCAAAGGATCCTCCCGCCTCAGCCTTCCAAAGTGCTGGGACCTGCTTTTTCTTTTTCTTTTTTTTCTTTTTTGAGATGGAGTCTTGCTCCGTCGCCCAGGCTGGAGTGCAGTGGTGCGATCTCAGCTCACTGTAGGCTCCTCCCCTCCCCGGGTTCATGCCATTCTTCTGCCTCAGCCTCCCAAGTAGCTGGGACTACAGGAACCCGCCACCTCGCCTGGCTAATTTTTTGTATTTTTAATAGAGATGAGGTTTCACCGTGTTAGCCAGGATGGTCTCGATCTCCTGACCTCGTGATCCGCCTGCCTCGGCCTCCCAAAGTGCTGAGATTACAGGCATGAGCCACCGCGCCCGGCCCCAGCCTGCTTTTTCTTATTTTGAGTTGCCTGACAGTGAGCTCTGCAGGATTGGTGTTTGAAGCATTGGGGCCCGGAGGAATATATAGGAAAAGTCAGCATTAATCCATGACTTGTTTTTTTTAAACCCCCAGTGGCTTTTTTTGCTGTCTGGTAAAGACAGAGTCCCTTTTCATGGCCAAGAGGCCCTGCAGATGGGATTCCTTTTGTCCTCTTGCCTGGTTCTGTGGGTTTCAGCCTTTCAACTGGAATGCATCACAGTCCTGCCTCAGGGCCTTTGCACATGCCGTTGGTCTGCCTGGACCATCCCAACTGGACCTACTTAGTGCCTGTATACTCTTGAGTTCTCAGTTCAAACCACACTTTCTTTGGAGAGTACTTGGACTCCCAGGCTGGATGGGGTATTTGTATGTTTTCCATACCCCAGGCACCTTCCTTTTGCTGTCGTCTTAGCTTGAGGCTATTTTGTTCACATGTCTCTTGGTTTACAGTTTGTCTCCCTGTCTAGGCTGTGAGCTCCCTGAGGACAGGGATCTGTCCCTGTGCTGGCACATGGCAGGTGCTCAGTAAAGGACTGACTGTCCTGGGCCCAGCACTGCTCACCTCCTTCCTCCCCTCTCCCTCTTCCAGGCCTGTGCCTCCTCCCATTCCCTGTGCTCCAACCTCAGCAGCACTTGGAGCCTGAGCGAGTTCCCCTCCCCTCTGGGAGGCCCAGAAGCACCTGGGGAGGCCGCTGTCATGGGGGGACCTGAACCTCACAACTCGGTAAGACAACTGCCCCATCCCAAATAAGCGGGGGACGCTGCTGTAGCATTATTACTAACGTAGAGAGTGCGTTCTGAAGGATCATTTCACAGGTGAGGACACTGAGGCGCAGGGAGGCCAAGTACTTTACTGAAGCTCACCCAGAACCATTTCCTTGCCAGGCCTGGGTGCCAGGAGGCCTGGGAGCCACCCACACACTGTAATCTTGCAGACCCCATTCCCCTGTTCTGGGCCCTAGTTCTCATCTGTGGAATGGGCACAAACCAGGTGTGCTGAGGACTGGGGTGGTGCTGAGCAGTGGGGGTGACCCAGGCCCTGTCATGGCATTGCAGGAGGAAGCCACAGACAGTGAAAAGGAGATCAACCGGCTCTCCATCCTGCCTTTCCCCCCCAGTGCTGGCTCCATCCTCCGTCGGCAGCGTGAGGAGGACCCCGCACCCCCGAAGAGGTGAGATGGCTGGGGATAGCAGTAGACACCCAGGGAGGTGGGGCTGCTGTCTCCTGAACAGCCACCTCCCAGAATCTGCAATGCCAAAGTCAGGTCCAGGCAGGCACTTCCCTTTATTGCCCTCAGATGGCTGGAGCTCTGGAAACCCAGGCCCTGTGAGTCACAGGGGCGACCAAGGTTAGGGTTAAGACAAGGCCGATGGGCAGAGCGAACTCAGTCCTAGCCAAGCATCCTGGCAGGGGAGTCACTGGGGGTCAAGCCTCGAAGATCCTATACCCAAGGAGAAGCTTGATGGTGCAGGACTAGGGGGCGTGGAGAATGTTTCAAGGTGTCAGGGACCTCGAGCAAGAAAGCCAGGCCTCAGGTTTGGGCATCAGCAGCAAATAGGGACCAGAAAATAGGGACCAAGGCGCACCCTCTGGTAGCACGACCAAGGGCGGGAGATAGCCTGCCTCCTGCGGCGCGATCCCTGTCACTACTTTTCCCCTGTAAGTAGCCCTTGATTTATTCCTTTACTGGTGAGAGGCTGGGCCTGGGAGGCTGTGGTCAGTATGGCCTCGGTCTGTGTGAATCTGTCCCAAGGAGGCATCTGATGAGGAGGCCATGGTTTAATTTAGGAGGCGTACCTGGGAGCCACAAACCACAAAGGTGGCAAGTGAGGGTGAGGTGAGGGGTAAGAGATCAGGGGTGGCTTCCAGGAGGAGGTGGCATTGAAAGAGCTGGCTTTGAAGGGCATGCCAGGGCATTGTAGGTGGAACAACACTGGACAGAGGCCAGGACATTAACTTCTTGCCCTGTGAGTTTAGGGGAGCCAGGTGGCATGGATGCCCTGTACCTGGGACCCCGCCTTGAGTCCAGCCTGCATTTGCTTGGGGGCTGTGAGACCTTTATCTGGTGTGGGGGCAGGAGGAGGGAACAGGGCAGAGTGCCCACCATGCCTCACCTCCTGCCCCCTCCCTGCCCCCCCTCCCTGCCCTCTCTCTGCCCAGATCCTTCAGCAGCATGTCAGACATCACAGGTAACAGCCCTTGGGTTCCATGGGGAGGGCTCCTCTGGGGAGGGGGGAGGTGACTTTGCAGTCCACCTGAAGCCTGCCACCTGCGCTACCCTTGGCCTGCATCCCCTTCCCTGAAGCCCCACTGTGGCCCCTGCCAGGCAGGAAGGTTGTGCTTGGGAGGCCCCTGGGGGCTTTGGTTCTGGCCTCTCACCCTGAGCCCAGTCCTGGGCCTCACTCTTGTTCCTAGCTGTGATGTACGAGGCTCTTCAGTTCTGGGCCACCTTTCACCCTCTTCCAGGAAACTGCGGGGTCAGCCTGGTGGGCCCTGACCTGTCTCTGAGCCCAGTGGGTCTGATGTGTTCCTGGGGCCTCCAACCTGCCAAGGCCCCTCAGGTCCTGGGCTGGAGGGGGTCAGCCCCGGTCATGGACCCCGGCCATCCCTGTTTCCCAGTCGCAGACCCCTGAACGTTGTTCTTTTTCCCCAGGGAGTGTGACACTTAAGCCCTGGTCCCCTGGCCTCTCTTCATCCTCGTCCTCCGACAGCGTGTGGCCTTTGGGAAAGCCGGAAGGCCTCCTGGCTCGGGGCTGTGGCCTGGACCTCCTCAACAGGTACTGTAGCTGCCTGTGGTGGGTGGAGCTGGGGTGATTGCTTGAGAGGGGAACAGGAGTGAGGTGGGAGGAGCAACTGCCTCACCCCCGTTTTATGCAACTGTCTGAAGATTAAGGTCTGTAGACACTGGCAGCCCTTAGATTCAAATCCTGCTGCCGCTCTTGATGGTCCCTGTAACTTGGGTGGTCCCTTCACCTCTGTGGGCCTCCATTTGCTGAGTAGCTAAAGGGAGATAATGACCCGTTTTGCATGGAGGTCTTTTGAGGCCTCTGCTCACAGAAGCAAAGCACCCAGCTCTGCCAGGCACATAGCAGGTGCTTAGTGATAGTTGTCACTACAAGCTATCCTTGTCCCAGTGTCCTGCCTGTCAGTCCCTTGGCTCTGAGTCCCTGGGACTGAGCCACCCAGCAAAGTTTCATGCTGTGGGTAGGCTTGGGTCTCCTCAGGAACCCCTGTGACTGGGCCAGCCACAGGCCCGTAACAGGAGTCACAAAGCCCATTAGCACAGAGTGCACTGTAGGCGACGTGCTGTCGGTGTGGCCGGTGCGTGGCCGCTGTTCACACTTGCCAGCGTATCTAAGGAGGGGTGAGGCACAGCGGGGGCTGCACTGCCATTGTGGTCTTGGAACTCAGCTGTGAGCAGAGGGCAGGTAGGGAGAGCATCCGGTGACTGTGGAGGAGGAGTGAGGGGGAAGGGCGAAAATCAAGGCTTCCTGAGTCAGGCCGGGAAAGTGTGGACTTTGGCTTGTACACTCTGGGAAATGTGGGAGGGTTTAGTTATTAACTGCAAGGCCAGCTGCTGGCCGTTTTACAGCATGCTGTTTGTCCTGGGAGTAGGCATAATTACGATGATCTCTGTTCCATAGAGGAGGTAACTGGGGCTCAGAGAGGTTAAGCAACTTGCCCAGGGTCCCACAGTTGGGAAGTACCAGGTCTGGGTTCGTAGTGACCTGATCAGATTTGGGTTTTGGAAAGGGCGTAGGAAACGTGAATTGTCAGCGCTGGAATGTGGGGGTGTTGGCTGCAGAGGGACGGGTCACGCAGCAGATCAGTGCAGCATTGGACCGGGGCCTCTGGCCTCCGGAGCGGCTTTGTCAGGCCAGTGTCCAGGCCCTGCCCCCACCTGGCCCCCGGCAGTGGGCCCAGCGAGACATTGTTTTTGCCTGTGCAGGACGTGCTTCTCGGGGAAGGGGTGGAGGTGCCTCCCTTCCTGCTCGCCTCGGCCCTTCCTCCCTTCCTCCAGTTTGGGCTGCAGCAGGGGTCCTGGCTGCTGTCCAGGGGGCGCCAGCATGCAGCCAGGGGGCAGGAGCCTCTGTCCCAGTCCCGCCCAGGCCCCACGGTCACATGGGGCCACTTCTGCTGCCCATGCTGTTTCTGGGGAGGAGAGAGGATCCTGGGAAAGAACACAGGCTGGGGAGGGCGCAGAGGTGGACCGAGAGAGAGAGAGAGAGAGAGAGAGAGAGCGAGCGCGAGAGAGAATGAGAGAGAGCGAGCCACCGCGCCCGGCCAAGGCTGGAATTTTAACCTGGTTACACAGACCAGGACACTGAAGTGCAGAGACAGTTAGAAATTGGTCCCAAGGGACGTGCGCGGTGGCTCACGCCTGTAATCCCAGCACTTTGGGAGGCTGAGGCAGGTGGATCACGAGGTCAGGAGATCGAGACCATCCTGGCTAACACGGTGAAACCCTGTCTCTACTAAAAACACAAAAAATTAGCCGGGCGTGGTGGTGAGCACCTGTAGTCCCAGCTCCTTGGGAGGCTGAGGCAGGAGAATGGCGCGAACCCGGGAGGCGGAGTTTGCAGTGAGCCGAGATTGTGCCACTGCACTCCAGCCTGGGCGACAGAGCGAGACTCCGTCCCAAAAAAAAAAAAAAGAAATTGGTCCCAAGTCATAGGCCCCTCGGAACTGTTTGGGGATTCCGACATGCCTTCCCCCTGTCTCAGCTGCTGGAGATCTCACATCTGTGTTGTGTGCCCACTGTGTGCTGGGCACCATGTTAGGCATTTTCTCTCCTCTTTCCCATTTCCTGTCCATCTCTTGCCCTCAGCCTCTGCCCTGTCTTTCCCAGCTCCTGGAGCCTGAGTGCCGGGAGGGGATGGTGGATAGTGAGGGGCTGGGGCAGGCAGGGGGATGGGCTGACAGATAGCCAGGTGGGGGACAGCAAGGGAGAGCTCATGGGGCAAGTGAGGTGCTGGGTGAGAGGGGCAGGGCATGGAGAGCACTGGAGGGTTTCGGGGTGTCGTCTCCCCAGCATAGCCCCGCCACTGCCCCAGCTTGCTCACATGGCCCCAGGGGATCTCTGGCACTTTCTGTCTTTGCAAAGAGAAGGTTCCCATAAGTCATTGCCCGGCTCCATGGCCTACTAGCTGTGCCATTCTTGGCAAGTTAACTTTCCTGTGCCTCAGTTTCCCTTATCTCAACCATCGGGTTGTCAGGAGGATTGACTGAGGTGATCTGTGTGGCATGCTTCAGTCTAAGCATCAGGTCCCTGACCTGGTACCAAGCAGGCATGCAGACTACTCAGAGATCTTCCCACGGGGCCCTGGGGGACACTCACTGAGGCCATGTGGCCCGTCACTGCTCAGAGCTGGCAGAGCTGGCAGACTTGCCCCATTCCTGTCTGCCTGTGACCTGACCTGACTCGGGGCGGGTGGCCGGGAGCGGGTGGCTGGGGACACCGTGCTTCCTAGCACCCCACAGGCAGCCAGCTGGTCAGCCAGTCCCAGGAGCGGGGAGCAGGTAGCCCCTCTCCCTGCCATGTTATTTCTCTACCCCTCCTGCTTGTCTCTACCTCTCCTGTTGAGGCGGGGGGGGGGGAGCTGGGAGGGACCCTATCTGGACCCTGCTCCCGGCAAGCCCCCAGGTGGGCTCTGCAGACTCCGAGGATGCTGGGAGTGGGTATTCCTGATCTGCGGAGTCTCAGAGAAGTCACTGGTCCTTTGAGGAGGTTTGCAAGGGTGTCCTGGAGGAGGGGATGCCTGAACTGGGTCTTCAGGGATCTGTAGGAGTTGTCAAGAAGAGCCTGAAAAACCTGTGGTCAAGGCTGGGGTCGGCCTTGATACTTGCATTGCAGAGGGGAGGGGTGTGGGGGAGGGAGCGAGTAGAGGTGGGTGGGGTGGGTGGGGTTGGCGGAAGAGCCTGGGTGCTGGCTGCTCACTGGGCTCTGGTCTGGGAAGGCTGTGATGGTCAGTTGTCTGTGGGTTTGAAACAGGTGGGGAAACTGAGGTGAGAGAGGTGATTTGTTATGAATTACACCTGGTGCCAGTCAATGTCTAGTTTTGACAGAGCACTTAGTGTCTCCTGGGCCCTATTCTGAGAGCTGCCCATGTCTAAACTCAGCGAGTAGCCAGGGAGGTAGGTGGAGCTGAGGCTCAGCAGCTGAGCGGCCTGGCCATTTGACCCCAGAGTTCCTGCTGGCGCCCTGCGTGCTGTGCTTCTCAGACCATCTGACCACAACCCACAGTGAGAGAAACCTGGTACACACGCCTGGAACAAAAAGGTCATGAGATAATAATTGGATTTTCCTGGGGTGGGGGATAGCCTTGTACTTTCTATTCCATCGCATTATCTAGCTGTGCCAGTCACAACCCAGTGAATGTCACCACCCACTAAGGGCCAGGCCTGCAGTTTGGAGGCCCCAGAGCTCTCTGGTTTCCCCCTCTCCCTGCATTATCTTTTATTCATGTGCCCCCCCGCCCACACCCACAGAGGGCAAGGGGTGCCACTGTCAGCCTCGTGTTATGCATGCGGTAACTAATGCTCAGCAACCGGCTCATTTGCCCAGGCTAGGGTACAGTTTGCCCTGGGGTTTGGAGCGGACCGTGTGCTCCAGCCACACACCCAGGGCCAGCATAGCCAGGCCGGGTCTCAGGCCTGCCACCTTTCCATGCCACCTCGATGCAGCCAGGACATGAGCACTGAATGATGCCTCCCACGCCTGCATCTGCCCAGCCCCTCGGCCTGGCTCTGTGTCTTACCTGAGGGGGCAGGGCTGTTCCCCAGCGGTGCTGATTGGGTGAAGGTCCTTGCAGCCTCGCCCTCCCCAGGCTGGCAGCAGGGGGCAGTGCAGCTGTGTCTGGGCTGCAGCTCCTGGGTGGATGTAGATGCTTTGCCCTGCTGCCTCTCCAGCCAGCACACCTGCTGACCTTGGTCTCCCCACCTCCTCCAGGCCAAGGTGTCTGGCAGGGGACTTTGGGTCCATTTGTCTCTGAGCCTGGCCACAAGGCCTCACCTTTTCTCATCCAGGGACAGGCAGAACCCTACCATGAAGGGGATTTTGGTGATGTCTTAACTGTCAGTGGTCCCCCTGCCCATGGGAGGAAAACCAGACACCTCTGTTCCACGCCCTCCAAAGGGTGGCTCCAGCTTGCCTTTCCTGGGAGCTGCTTCCCAGGATGTAAAATGAGAATTAGGACAAGGAGCTCAGCATAGTGTCTGGTGCATGGAAAGCACCCAGGAAGTGTTCGCTGCTATTGTTGTTATTAAATTCTTCCACACATTGTGTGTTCTGTTCTCTACACCTTTGCTTTGATATATTCCTTCAGCCTGGAACTCCGTTTCCTCCATCTGTCACCAAAGTGCGTCTATTCTTCACCAGTGTGTAGCCCAGGTACTTCTTCCGTGGGAAGCCTCTCTCTGCTTCTATGGCTGGTTGTAACCACCTTCAGATCTGTGCCACGTGCTAATGGAGACCTCCCTCCTCAGACTGTGAGCATAACAAGCGTTTTTTTTTGAGACAGAGCATCACTCTTGTTGCCCAGGCTGGAGTGCAGTGGCACGGTCTCGGCTCACTGCAACCTCTGCCTCCTGGGTTCAAGCAATTCTTCTGCCTCAGCCTCCCGAGTAGCTGGAATTACAGGCACCTGCCACCACGCCGCCCTAATTTTTTTGTATTTTTAGTAGAGATGGAGTTTCACTATGTTGGCCAGGCTGGTCTCGAACTCCTGACCTCGTGATCCACCTGCCTTGGCCTCCCAAAGTGCTGAGATTACAGGCGTGAGCCACCGTGCCCGGCTGTATAACAAGCTTTTATTAGTCATCTGCTATGTGCCAGACACTGGGTTTGGTGCCAGGGATACAGAGCATAACAGTATAGAAGTTTGGTCCTGGAGGCATTCGTTCTGATGAAGGAAACGAAAGGGCCGTGGCAAGGCAAAGTTGGAGTGCTCCTGTGGCAGGCTCCACTGCACCGTGTGCCCGGGTTCAGGGGAGAGGCCGCTTGTGATTTGAGCTTTGAAGGATGGTCAACATTTCCCAGGTGGAGAAGGCAAGGAAGGGCATTCCAGGCAGAGGGCACAGAAGATGGAGAGGCCTGGGGGTGGCAGTCATGGCATACTTGGGAAATGGAATCACTGTGGTTTTCCAAGAATGCTGAACTGAATCCAAGTACTGACTGGACTCTAATTCTCGTCTCCTTTCTCCCTTCTCAGGTCTCTGGCTATTCGGGTGTCTGGCCGGAGCCCCCCAGGGGGCCCAGAGCCACAGGACAAGGGACCAGATGGACTGTCGTTTTATGGGGACAGATGGTCTGGGGCTGTGGTGCGCAGGGTGCTGTCTGGGCCTGGGTCCGCCAGGATGGAACCGAGAGAGGTGAGGCCCCGCCTCCTGAGCTGGGGGGGCGGGGTCAGTGCTTTGGCCCGGGCTGGACACCGCCTAGTTGGTGGATCAAGATCACTGGGCGGAGCTTCTGGGGATTGGCCAAAGCAGAAGCAGGCTGTGATTAGCTGCGGTTGCCCGCTCAGCCAGGGTTAATTGAAGTCTGATTGGGCGGGGACTGGGAGGCGGAGCCAACTGACAGCACGTTACATCCCTGCACTTCAAGTCGGATGAGCTGGGTGGGTTGGGGAGTCCTGTGGATGAGAGCGGGTCTGACTGGGCTGGGCATGGCAGTTTCTGAGGGGGCACTATCTGAGTTGTGAGGCATGATCACCCCCACACCCGGTCTTCCTCCAGTCCCTGGGCTGCTCTGCTCTCAGAGTCTCACTTCTTTCCCTCCCTGCCTGGGTTTTCTCCCAGCAAAGGGTGGAAGCTGCTGGTCTGGAGGGGGCGTGCCTGGAAGCCGAGGCCCAGCAGAGAACCTTGCTCTGGAACCAGGGATCCACCCTCCCCTCCCTGATGGACTCGAAGGGTAAGTCTGGCTTGGGAGTTGGAGCTGATGGTCCTAGAGGGGTCCTCTAACCCGTGGTGCATGGGGGCAGGGGGATCAAGGACCTGAGAAGGGACCAGCCTTGCCCCAATTGCCCTTCTCCTGGCTCCCCCGCTGCTGACACCTCTTTCTGTCTGTCCTTGTGCCCTTTCTCTCTGTCTCCCTCTGTAAGCAGCTTACAGAAAGGAGCACTGCATTAGGAGTCCAGAGACCTGGGTTTGAGTCCTGGCTCTCCTCCTACAAGGCACTGGCCTTGGGCAAGTCCCTGCTCCCTCTGGACCTAAGTCTCTCATTCTAAGAAGGGGAAGGTGAAGTCCTGGGAGCTCAGGCCTTGAGAGGGCCATGACTATGGCCCCACCGAGGCCGATCCTGGACCTCACCATCCTCCTCTCGTCCTCCTTGTTGCCCCTTGCCCCATCCATGCCCAGCCTGCCAGTCCTTCCACGAGGCCCTAGAAGCCTGGGCAAAGGGGCCAAGTGCCGAGCCCTTCTACATTCGTGCCAACCTCACCCTGCCTGAGAGGGCAGATCCCCATGCCCTTTGTGTGAAAGCCCAAGAGATCCTTCGGCTGATGGACCCGGCTTACAAGCGGAGGCAGGAATGGTTCTGCACCCGGGTTGACCCCCTCACTCTGCGGGACCTGGACCGGGGCACCGTACCCAATTATCAGAGGTGATGCAGAGCCAGGAGCTGGGGATGGGGTCCTCCTGGGAGCCAAGGCCCAGATGGGGGTGCTCTCCCTCCTCCTGCAGTCCCTCACCATCCTCTGGGACAGGGCGGGGGATTCAAGGAGAAGAGATGCGGTGCTTTCCTTCTTCCTACACACATGATGTCACTCCGTCCCACAGAGCCCAGCAGCTCCTAGAAGTTCAGGAGAAATGCCTGCCCTCCAGCCGGCACCGAGGCCCCCGCAGTAATGTGAGCACAGCTGGGCGGGAAGTCGGTGGGGGGGCCCCGAGGGTGGAGCCCAAAAGGGAGCTAGCAGGCTCTGTTCTCTGGCAACCTAGGAAGACACTCCCTCCCTCCTTCCCTGGTGATTTAATTGGTCATCTACTATGTGCCCAGCAAACAGAACAGCAGAGCTCACCATCCGGGGTAGTTTAGAGATGAAAT